AAAAAGAGCGATGCGTGCTGTGAAATATGTGGGAAGAATTACTGCATTGACGCATGAAGTAAAAACACAAGTCTACTAATACATCCTGCATCCCTTTGCCCTCTTTATTTGACAAGAACACAGAATCACACTCAAAAGTAGGAAGAAGCTTAGAGTAGGAAGGGATTTCAGAGTTCATTTTGCCCAACACTATTTCGCAGGTAATGTAACTGAGGCCAGGAAAGGTCACCCCACAAGACAACCCTAAGAAGAGAAGTCTCCAGAGCCTGTTGGTCAAGACTTAACATTGGTGGTCTTAGCGCTCCGAGTGTGAAGAGTGGGGTATAGAACGTCCCGGCATGTGGAAGACTATGGAGGTCACTAAACAACAAATTCCCAAAATTCTACTACTATACTTACAATGTCTAGCAATTCCAATCTATGCAGTCACCTCCTCCATTTCATTCAAAGTTCATTTTAAACCCTGCCTCCTCTAAAAATTTTTATTAAACATGAAGTTAATGCATTCTTTTAAAAGGTAAAATTTATACCCACACCAAAAACAGGACTAAAAATTTAGATTTTTATGCTTTCAGGTAGACAAAAGTGAGCATTCCTTTATCCCCAAGCCCACATCACATTGAGTAAATTTAACAACTTTTAAATTCTTAAAAGGTGATCATATGAAATGCACAGCACATTATAGTTAATCGATGCTTTTGTAATCAAAGCTTTTGCCTCTAGTGTTGCGCATCCATAAGCTTCATTCTTGGAAGACAGCTCAGTGGTTCTTGGACTCAATTTAGTCTGCCGATGGTTGGTATGTGATTATGTGGTCAAAACTCTTCTTATTCATTTCATGCAGAAATCCAGCTGATAACCTTAACATTTCCTTTAATAGGGAAAGTAACTGACATGCAATGATGAATCAGTAATGGAGCATGAAGATTACCCTACTTAACATTCTTCAATGGTTCCCTAGAGCCTTCTCGATAAAGTCCAGACTCCTTAAATTGGCAATCATGAACCTTCAAGATCTGAGCTTCATCTATCTTCCTAGTACCATTTCTCAATCCTCCCCCTTCTTACTATCTGGCTCAGACATGCTAAACTACTTTTAGTTCTCTGGAAAAATTAAACTCTCTCTTCCCTCCACTTAAAATGCTCTCTGCATATACCCTCTTGACATTTGTCTGGCTAGTTCCTACTCACACTGCAAAGGTCTGTTTACTTGCATACATCATTTGGAGTGTTATTATGAAGTAATGTCAACTACACCCTAAATACAAAAACAATCAATTCACTTTCAGTGAGACATCAACATTTGCCTTTTCATACTACTCTTTTGGTAAAATAGATTATATTCACTACTTCCACTTCCTTACCATCCAATCATACTTAATCCCTTGCAAACCTGCTTCCCTTCACATTACTTAACTGAAAACACTTTTTTTGAAGACTTCCAGTGTCCTCATAATCATTTAATTCATTGGCAATAGTTTTATTTTTTTTCCAAATACCAAACCTCCTTAAGTTGTCTAAAGCCATCTAGACTGCTGGTCACCCTATTATGTTCTCCCTCTCTTTTCCTTTCATGGCATACAGTTTTCCTAGATGTCTTATTCTATTTCTTCTCTGTGTCATTTACTGGTTCCACTTCTCCTCTAATTAAAGGTGTGTTCCTCCAGGTTTATTAGACTTAAAACATTAGTATTAAGATGCCTCCCAACCCTTTAACTCATAACAAAGGCAAATCATTTGTGTATCCTGTTGATTCTAGCTTATTAGTGAAAAAGGAAGAAATACCAGTCCAGTAAAAAGAGCATTCATTTTGGAGATAAACTTGGATTCATATTTCAAGTCTGTCACTCATTCTTGAGCAGTGTGGAATGGAGGATATTACTTAACAAATTGGACCTCATTTTCTCATCTAGAAGTTGGAGAAAATGTCTATCTTTTAGTATTACTGTATGAATCACAGTAAGCAAAGTGCATATTCCAATGCTGGGTACACAGTGGGCACTCAATAAAATTTATTCATAATTACTGTTATTTTCACACTTCTCTTAAATTTGTGTAGTATTTCACTGTCCCGATCCATTTCTTGATAGAAACAAGAATTTCTTGTTTCATGAACAAAAGGTAAATTTTACAGAGTGGAGATATGAACAGGTTTCTTTTCTGGCCAAATGGTTCCAAATTGCTTATTGAATCAAAGGCCAATTCCTCCCTATTTAAGAATCTTCAGGTTCTAGCTCCATCCTTCCTCTCCAGTCTTCTCCCTCAACGCCCTCCTAAACAAATACCAAGAAAACTGAACTTCTTGTGGTTCTCAAACATACCACATACTCTTTACCTCAAAGTCCTGCTCAAATTATGCCTCCTTTATGAAACTGATACCCCTGGCTAGATATTTTATTCCCAGAGTACTTTATTGGTACTTCTCAGGGTACTCATATTTGGTATATTATTTCATTATTTGTACATAACTGACCTCCTTTTGAAGAGAAAAACTAGGTTATTATTCATGTGCCTACTCACCACTTTGCTAAGTGATCTCACACACACACATACATGCGTGCGCACAGAGGTAGAGGGAAGAAGAGGGAGAGAGAGAGGAAGAGAGAGACGTTTATTTTTTCAAAATACCAACTAGACTTTTCCTCAAGGAATTATTTTCACTTCAACTTTTTATGAAGAGGGGAATAGAAGGGGGAGAGCAAGGTGTATACAGAGTACTGAGGCATTGCTGGCTGAACTTCCATTTGGAATTCCCCCCCACCCCGCCCCCCAGCAGAAAAAAGGCAGGGTTGAAACAGTTATCCTAGCAGTGACCAGGTAAGACTTTAAGATATATTGATCAATTGCAACCAACCTCTTGGGAAACTCTATCAATTTGCTAAGCTTGTCCATATTTTTTTCCCCAGAGCTATTTTCCTAACTTTCCAGTCTCCTCTAAACCAGAGTAAACAAAAGATTTAAACCCACAGTTGAAAACATAGGAATATACACATATATTTAATGTGATTTTATGTATTAGTTCATATGTGAGAATCTTATTTCTTTAAAATGGAATTTCTTTCAACCAAATCCAAGACTAAATTTTTATGTCTAATTTTCAGGCAGCACCTAGTATAGTGCTTTGGATATAATACAAATTCAGTATGTAATGGTTGAAAGAAAAATGAATTTATAGTATACAACCGCAGGACTTGATGTTGGTTAACTGCAGTGGGAAAAATGAGAAAAGATATAGTCAAAGTGAGTGTGACACTTGGGGGCTCAACTCTCATCAATACCAGCTAAATAAATCCTTGGGTGCCCAGTGGTACATAAGGACTTAAGTATCCCCAACTGAGTGCCTTGAAAATAGAGATGATGTCATTTTATTTTGTATTACTTGGTAATGTGCCAAGTCTGAAGATACTTTCTCAACTGCAAGAGTATCCAGGAAACAGAAATATTGGCAGCTCCACTATTCAAGTAAATTAGATATAGCTTGCATTTGTAAAATTTTCAACTAACTCTTGTGATCCTCAATCACTCCACAGAGTAAGCAAAGTATTCAGTTATTAGTCTCAACTTTCATAATATAAAACTCCTGGCATTAAAATCCAGTTCCAGACCTACTCTTCTACTATTAAATATCACAGAATAGTAGAAATGGAAAGATCTTTATAAATTATTCAAACTAATTTTTTTTTTAAGATTTTATTTATTTGACAGAGAGCAGAGCAGAAGCAAAAGGGAGCAGCAGGCTCTCTGCTGAGCAGAGAACCCATGGCGGGGCTGGATCCCAGGACCCTGGGATCATGATCTGAGCTGAAAGCAGAGGCTTAACTGAGCCACCCAGGCGCCCCAACCTAATTTTTTTTAATATGAGGAACTCTGAGGTCCATAAAGAGATCATGTTAGCAGCAAAGCTCCCACTAAAAGCCAAATTACCTGATGCAGAGTCCATGTCTCCCTCTGAATATCACTTTCTACACACACAGACCCAATTTTAGCTTTTCTGAAAATACAGAGGTCTAAAAAAGCCAAGGCTTCTCTCAAGCCAGAGGTACTGGTTCATATGTAACAAGTTTTATTTGGCCCACGGCGTTTAAAACAAAATAAAATAAAAGCAGGAGTGTAGGAGGATGGTGGTAGGCAAATGCTCTTGCAGTTTTTTTCAACTCCTGTGGCTCGGGTCCTCATTCCAGAGCTCAACTACCTTAACGAAGAGGTACTCTGATGTAGTAGAAAGAGCACGGGACTTTGAGGACGTAGGAATCTGAGATGAAATCCGCACTCCAGCACTTACTACGCGGCCTTGCCCAAAGCACTTCTTTGAGCCTTAGTTTTCTCATTAGTAAAATGGAGATAATTCAGATTTGATGTGAGGATGTGAGAGGAAAGTACTCCTGGCACACAGCCGAAGATCGATAAACATTTGTTAAATAAATGAATAACACAGTGGATGCTCAGTAAAGAGCGATCATGCATGGTGGGGTAGTCCCCATCTCCTGGGGGCTCCAGACTGAAGGCTCTTGGCCTCCTTCCAACCTCACAGGCCCGAAGCTCGGCCCCGAGTCAGGCCATTTCTTCCCAGCCTCACTCGGCGCTTGGTCCAGGGCTCGCAGAGAACTCGCTGGGCCTCGTTCTCTAGCCTTGAGGCCTTGGAGCCTTACTTCACCCTCTCTCCTCATCCCTCCCCTCAGAGTCGGAAGGAAGCCAAAGTCGCTCCTCAAGCCACAGCTCCACTGAGGGGGAGCTCCGCCTGCCGTTAGCGTCCAAGGGGACTAAGCATTTCGTTTTTCTCATATTTTTTTCTATCTTTGTTTTCTAGTCCTCGTCTTCTTTCAGGAGCCCGATGTCATTTCGCTCGGTGGTAAAGACCACACCCCGCCTTCTCAAGCGGCCCCGGGTCGGCTAGTGACAGTTTAGGAGGCCGCGTTACCTGGGAAACCGGAGAGGGCGCTGGAAAACGCCAGCCCTGCGTCGCGTTTGCGCAGGCGCTAGGACCCTGGCCTCCCCTATCGCGAGAATTGCTTCCCGGAAGTTCCACGTCAGTCAGTCGGCTGGTCCGCGGGTCGGTGGGCCGTTCAGGGACTGCGTCGCCGGTGGCAAGTGAGGGCTCCCGGGCTCGGACCAGCGGAGCGATGGTAGGTCCAGACCCTGCAGGAAAGAGCGGGGCCTCGTTGTCTGAAGCCAGTTCTTGGGCTTCTGGACTGGGGGCTGTGGTAAGCAGCGGCCTGCGCTCCCGCTGCGGCCGCCGCCTCAGGCCTTGTGGGGTCCTGGTCCAGTTTGAGTTCTGTGAGGGAGGCGGCGGTGGGGCCGAGGAATCTGAGGTGGTGTGGAGAGGCAGTGCCGGGGCTTTGCCAAACCTACCTCATTCTGCCCTTAAAACGGTGGCAGCTGGTCTTACACTCATGCTATATTAGTGTGTGCTAACCACAAACTACGGTCTTAAGCAGAAAAGCACTCCTTCTGAAATTCGGTAAAGTGTGTATGTCAGAAATGGAATTTCAAACGCTTTGGGATTCCACTTTAAGTTTCTAGGGGGCAAGGAAGGGTTAGGACGTTGCTTCTAAAACTGTTTGACGTGGTTTTCTGCATTTGCAAATATAGTGGCTGGTAAGAATGGCAGTCACGACAGACAGCACTTTTTTATTGTCAGTCTCACCCCCGAAAATACCCTAAAGTACTTTGGTTCAAGAGTGTTATAATAAGAAGAAAAAAATACAATAGTGGGAGAATATGCTTTCTGAAAAAATGTAAGAAAGTCAGTGTTTTATATTTAAACGATTTCCTGCCCGCTTTTTTTTTTTTTTTTACTTGTAATGAAGCATAGGTTCAAAGATTTGAGGTCTTGAAAATGTTAGGGATTAATAAGACCAAGTTCTGTATCTTGTAGTTTAAAACTTTAAAGGTTGTACAAGGCTAATTGAAGCAGAGTTGGAATTACAACAGAGGTTGAATCCTTAGGGAAACTGGTGAAAGGTATGGATCCTTCTAGAAAGATGGGTAGAGAAGCACACAGTGTTGCAAAACCTTCAGTGGGTTCATTCACAGACACCCTATCTCCCCCATCCTTGCCTATGAACTTCCTTGGGTCCCCAGGTTAAGAGCTCCTCGACAAGATCTCAGGTCTCTTAATTATTCTGCCTCCTGTTACCAGTGATCTGTTCTGGTCTGGAATCTGCTGTGCTCTCAGTAATGGACATTTTATAATGAAATATCCTTTATTCTTTCATGCATTTAAAATTTTTTGTATAAGATACAAAACGTGAATTTATTTATTCACTTGTTTACCATAGAGTGTTTATGTGCCCATGCACTTTGCTAAACATTTGCCTCCTAATTCCTATAGCAGCTGGGAGAATGAGTTATGAATAATGTTTATGGAGTGGTTATGATAGGCCAGGCACTATTCTAACTGCTTAACATTGAATTTAATTCTCATAACGCTAAGATGTAGATAAAAGTATTATCCCTCTTTTACTTATGTCAAACCTCAGAGAACTTAAGTAAACTTGTCCAATATTGCATATTTGAAATGAGTGGTGGAACTAAAATTTGAATTCAGCATAATTCTCTAGACCTCAATTATACCATCTGTCCTTAAACCCCCATATCCAAATACATAAGATGCTGTGGATATAAAGACATGAATAAGCAATGACTCCGCCCTAAGGAGCATCTACTCTATAAAGCAAAAAGAGACATGTATACAAATATTAAAATTAGCTTCTTTAAGATCCCTTAGGAAAGGATAGTTCTGGCTAGGGCAATCCTACAGATTATATTGGTGGCAGTAGCATTTAAGCTGAGTCTTAAATGCATCCAGCTTTTGGAAAATGGAGGGAGACATTTAGAATTAAGGGTACAGTATAAATATCTTTGTATTTCAGAATATTTACTTCATTCAAAGTAGTCACTTAAATGTTGGGAGAAATACAGCAAAAGATCTCGGCTGTGTTTCTTAAACTGGAATTTGTGAATTGGGGGTATTTGGAGGTTGCTTAGTCCCCCAACCCACCTTTCCAGAGCGTCACTTTTACTCAGTAATCATTAAACATTCATATGATAAAATATACACAATTTATAAGTGATGAATTTCCTCATTTGCTAGAGGAAAAGTATGAGATGTGCCAGCCTACATGAAAGCCCTGATTGTGATTTCTGGCACACAAAAGACACTTCATGTTTGTTCACTCTAAAGAGACCAGTGAAAGGAGTTGAAATTTGTCATGCTAATTAATGAGGCAAAATTAAGAAAAGGGTGAAGTAAAAGGTCCTGCTTCCCTGAACGGCCAAGGAATGTGAGGATGGTGGTTTGAAAATAGAAAGCTTGAGATGGAGAGGAAGGCATGGCAGTGGAAACATTTTTTTGGTGATTGTAGAGAAGAGCCAAAGAACTCTGATCTTTCAAATAAAGAGATCTAGGTTATTGCTAAAAGCAGAGGAGGCATGTATAGAAGTAATAACAAGGTTGGAAGCAGTAGATGAATAAAAGCCTTGTGAGGTGTTTGCTATGTCTCAGGAAATTATCTCTGCTGAAATTATCTACTGATCTTCGTTTTGTGTTGAAAAGTAACCTTAAATTTCTATTCCATTCATGATCATCATGGAAGATCACAAAAATAAAGATTCAGTGGTAACTTACCAAGTAAACTTTTAGGTTGTGTTTAAAACCTGTTGAAGGGGAAACATTTTTTTTTTTTTTTAAAGATTTTATTTATTTGACAGAGAGAGAGCGCACAAGCAGGGGGAGCGGGAGCAGTAGGCAGAGGGAGAAGCAGGCTCCCCACTGGACAGGTTGCCCAACGCGGGACTCGATCCCAGGACCCTGGCATCATGACCTGAGCCTAAGGCAGACTCTTAACCGACTGAGCCACACAGGCGCCCAGGGAAACATTTTAAATCAGTCTTCCCTGATCTGTGGCCAAGAGAGAATTAAGACTACTGACCTAGGCATCATTGCTTATAATGAATTCTTTTCTCTTAGAATGGTATCCTTGGGAGAATTGAGAAAATACTTATTCACATCATTTTCTTATCTGTTTAGATGAATCTAGTTTGAAAAAAAGCAAGTTTAAACTATTAGCATTTTCTGACTCGAGAGTATTTTAATTTTTGTTTAAAATTGTTCTAATTAAGTTAGAATTAGGTTCTTCTTTAGATTACTAAGTAACTCACTAGTTAGGTTCCCAATTAAGTTACATTAGGTTCCTGTAACTGAAATCCATTAAAATGCTGTAAACATTCCTGTTTGTCTCCAAAGGCCTTCATGGACATGGATATAACCCGTATTGATCACACATCACATTCACTTACCATTTACTAATATTATTGCCAAAATACTTTTCTCCAAAGAAATTAATTTTTTTATTGAGGTATAATTGACATAATGTTATATTAATTTCCATGTGTACAACGTAATGATTTAGTATTTGTATATATTGTGAAATGATCACAAGAGTAAGTAGTTAATATCTATCACCATATGTGGTTACAGTAATTTTTTTCTTATGATAACTTTTAAGATCTACTCTTAGCAACTTTCAAATATGTGACACAGTATTATTAACTATATATTATATCCCCCTGACTTAATTGTTTTATTACTGGAAGTTTGTACTCTTTCACCTCCTTCATCCGTTTTGCCCATCCCCACCCCCTGCTTCTGGCAACCACCAGTCTGTTCTCTACATGTATGAGCTTGAGCTATTTTATTTTAAGATTATACATATAAGTGAGAGGGCGCCTGGGTGGCTCAGTCGTTAAGCGTCTGCCTTCAGCTCAGGTCATGATCCCAGGGTCCTGGGATCGAGCCCCACATCGGGCTCCCTGCTCCACGGAAAGCCTGCTTCTCCCTCTCCCACTCCCCCTGTTTGTGTTCCCTCTTTCGCTGTGTCTCTCTCTGTCAAATAAAAAAATAAAATCTTAAAAAAAAAGATTAATCATATAAGTGAGGTCATACAGTATTTGTCTTTCTCCAACTTATTTCACTAGCATAATACCCTCAAGTACTATCCATGTTGTCACAAATAGCAAGGTTTCATTCTTTTTTATGTATGAATAATATTCTTTGTGTGTGAGAGAGAGAGAGAGAGAATATTTTTGTGATCTTCCACGATGATCATGAATGGAATAGAAATTTAAGGTTACTTTTCAACACCAAATGAAGATCACTAGATAATTTCAGCAGAGATAATTTCCTGAGACAAAGCAAACACCTCACGAGGCTTTTATTCCTCTACTTCCAGTGTATATATAATAATACATATGCAAATAATATGTATTATTACATATATGCATAAAATATATACATATATACAATGAAATATGTATAATATACATTTTCTTTATTCATTTATCAGTGGACACTTAGGTTGTTTTGACGTCTTGGCTATTGTAACTATTAGTGCAGTGAACATGGGGGTGCACATATCTTTTCAAGTTGATGCTTTCGTTTTTCTTTGGATAAATACCCAGAAGTGGAATTGCTAGATCATATGGCCAGTTCTATTTTTAATTTTGAGGGGAACTTCCACACTGTTCTCCACAGTGGCTGCACAAATTTACGTTCCAAACGATAGTGCATAGGGGTTTGCTTTTCTCCACGTCCTCACTGACATTTGTTATTTCTTGTCTTTTTGATAATAGCCATTCTAACAGGTGTAAGGTGATATCTCATTGTAGTTTTGATTTGTGATGATTAGTCACATTGAACATTTTTCATGTACCTATTGGTCATCTGTAGTCTTCTTTGGGAAAACGTCTATTCCGAACCTCTGCCTATTTTTTACTTAATTAATTTTTTTGCTATTAAGTTGTATGGGTTCTTTATATATTTTGAATATTAATCCCTTATCCAGATATATGTTTTGCAGGTATTTTCTCCCATTCAGTGTGTTGCCTTCTCATTTTGTTGATAGTTTGCTCTGCAGAAGCTTTTTATATGATGTAGACCCACTTGGTAATTTTTGCTTTTATTGCCTTTGCTTTGGTGTCAAATCCAAAAAAATCATCAAGACCAGTATCAAGGAGCTTATTGCCTATGTTTTCCTCTAGGATTTATGATTTCAGGTTTACATTCAAGTCTTTAATCCATTTTGAATTAATTTTTGTAAAATTATGATACAAGATAATGGTCCAGTTTCATTCTCTCTTTTTTTTTTTTTTAAGAGAGGGAGAGGGGGTGCAGAGAGGGGCAGAAGGAGAGAGAGAATCTTAAGCAGGCTCCACACCCAGTGCAGAGCCTGACATGGGGCTCAGTCTCACAACCCTGAGATCATGACATGAGCTGAAATCAGGAGTCAAGACACTCACCTGACTGAGCCACCCAGGCGCCCCCCTGTTTCATTCATTTGCATATTGTTGTCCAGTTTGCCCAACACCATTTATTGAAGAGACTGTCCTTTTCCCATTGTATATTCTTGGCTCCTTTTTTGTAGGCTAATTGATCATATATGTATGGGTTTATTTCTGGGCTCTCTATTCTGTTCCATTGATCTTTGTGTTTTTATGCCAATACCATACTGTTTTGATTGATATTATAGTTTAGGATTACTAAGACTTCATGAATAACGCTTCTTCAGAATATTTTCTGATAGGACACTAATGACATGGGCACAACATTGTGATTTAGTAGATATTTTATATTTACTTACTAGATATTCTGTAAACCAGGGATTCTCAAAGTGTGATCTACAGTCTCCTAGGAGTCCCCCATACTCTTCCAGGAGGTTCACTATGTTGATAATTTGCACTGTTGCTGTAAAACCTAATAGAAGGTAAAACTGAACTGCTGGTGTAATGTCACCAAATTGAACTAATAGTATATTTATATTCTTCATTACCACATTTTTTTTTTAAATCCAGTTTCACTTAAGAATGTCATTGATGAAGCAGGGAAAAAATACTAGTTTTATTACATCTCGATACTTTAGCATACTTCTTTTAAAGATTCTGTGTAATGACATGAGAAGTATGCACAAGATACTTCTGTTGCATGCTCTTAAGTTGCAGGCTTACTTGAAATAGTGACCGACATACTGTGTTTGTTCAGACTTGATTATTTGGCAGATATTTTCTAAAAACTGAAATAAGTTAGCTGGTCCCTGGCAGTATTTGTTCCTGATAATAAAATTGGACCTTTCAAGTGAAAATTAGAATTTTAGAAAACTTCTGTCATTGAACTGGATAAATTTCTAATACTTGAAGATGTATCCATTGAGGTAGATGGTGATAATATTGAATGTGACTTTTTGTTACCATATAATGAAATGTGTCAGAATTTTGGAAGATCTGCATAATTCACTGAACCAAAATTTTCCAAATAACCAATGCATGATATTACAAAAGATGCATGGGTCAGAGATCCATTCAAAATACATAATAGGCCAAGAGATTTTTATGTAACAAAGTATAAAAAGTTCATTTATGTGGTTTCAGATTTCACATTGCAACTAACCTTTAGGAAACTACCACTTGTCAAGTTTGGGTGTGTATGAAAGAAGAATATTCACAACTATTTAAAAACAGTTACTAGAGCGCCTGGGTGGCTCAGTCGGTTAAGCGTCTGCCTTCAGCTCAGGTCATGATCCCAGAGTGCTGGGATCAAGCTCCACATCGGGCTCCTTGCTCAGCGGGGAGCCTGCTTCTCCCTCTGCCTACTCCTCCCCCTGCTTGTGTGTTCTCTCTCTCTGACAAATTAAAAAAAAAAAAAATCTTTAAAAAAATAAAATATTTCTCTCTTTCCAATGACATATCTCTGTAAGGCCATTTTTTTTCCATATACATCAACCAGAACAACATATCACAACATATCGAAGGCCAAAGCAGATATGAGAAACCGACTGTTTCTTATTAAGACAGAATGTTAAAGAGTTTGCAAAAATATAAAACGTTGCCACTCTTCTCACTAAATTTCCTTTGAAAATAGTTATTTTTCATAAAAATATGTTATTTAAGTCAACATGTAATGGGCTTATTTTTGTTAATTGAAAATGAATTAATACATAAATATTTTTAAGTTTCAGTTTTAATGTTTCACATGATAAATATCAATAGATATAACCTACATAAGCAAAAGCTCTTTAGGAAATTTTTTTGAGTGGAAAGGGGTCCTGAGACCAAAAAGTTTGACAACCATTACTGTAAATTTAAAAAATTTAAATACTCTTATGTTAGTATGAGTGAAGAAGTAGGTGCTGGTAGAGTTGAAACTGTGTCTTCAGCAAAGTAAAAACAATTGTTTTGAAGGCCTGTTAATGCACTGTTTTTAGTTAAGATTTCAAACATGTTTTATTTGGCATAGCAATTTAATGTTTTGAGGGTTTTTTATGTTGTTTCTCCTTAGCCTCTGCGACTTGATATAAAGAGAAAGCTAACAGCTCGATCGGATCGAGTTAAGAGTGTGGATTTGCATCCTACAGAGCCATGGATGTTGGCAAGTCTTTACAATGGCAGTGTGTGCGTTTGGAATCATGAAACACAGGTAGGAATTTTTAAGGACTTTGTAGAAACAGTGTGTTAGACTGTGTTTATAATGCAAGAGAAGACATAGAGTCCAGTAGGTATGCAGACTGCTTTCTCAAATAAATTAGTACAAAGTATTTTCAGGAAAGAGGAACTAACAGTTATGGGGGTATAGCTTGTGAGAGAAAATGTTTGGGTCTTGTTACATACAATACTTACATGTTAAATTCTGATGTAGGTTAGTATTTTCTTTGAAATGAAGGAAACTGCCACCAATATAAGGTCACTTGCTCTAGATAAAGTATTGAATAATACTTAATTTTCTATTCAGTCAATATTCTTAAGAATTGGATTTTTAATTTTATTTTTTCCCAAATCCTTGATATAATGATATGCAGATAACTTTCAATCAACCATTCAAATTCTAGAGTATGTCAGAGAAATATTTGTAGTCAGCTTTTGATTACATATATGAGAATATGCATTATACAGATTTTCTGCCTTAAATGCTTGTTTTGCTCTTTTTCATCTGAGTAAATCATCCTTCAAATTGGTTTATCTCATATTTTCCAGTCTTTTTTGGTGGTTCTTAATCTTTTTCCTTCAAAATACAGAACATATAGTCAATACTACCCCATACAGTTTTGTGTCTACTTACACAATCATTATCTTCAACATCCAAGGTTAAGTACTTAATATCCAGACAAAATTCACGTTGAGTAATTTAAGATGGAAAAATAGGCTTAGGGGGAACCAAGGTCAGGAATAAACCTAAAAACACTCTTACAGTCTTAGGTCCCTATAATGGCATAGAATGACTGCACACTAAACCAGGACTCCATCAGTGACATTTTATAAACATTAACACTTTGTTCTCTGCTTTATGCCAGTGCTGATAACATTGTCTGACACATAGTAAGTACTCAATAATTATTTTTTGAGCTAATGAATAATAAATATTCCATTTATCACTATTTCACTATATCAGGATTTCTAACCTCTGCAATTTCAAATCTTGATCTTGTGAATCCATTTGTCTTACTGCAGATAGTATGCATGCTAACTGCTTTTTTTGATCTACTTCTGCTTTCACAGGTTTAATATCTTTGTGATTTTATGCTTATCAGATATGTTGGTGCCTCCCCCAACCCCCACCACACATCCTAATTCTTTCTAGGGATCCCTTCTGTCAATTCCATTTAGCCATTTCTCAGCGCTGTCATTTCACTGAAGTATGTTCTAAATCCCAGCTGTATTTCCCTTACCTTTCTCTGGGTTTTACTGTACCATAACTCTTAACTGGTTCATCCACTTTGCCTCTGTTTCCCTTTTGTGCCCTTCTGTGACCTCTGGCAGGGCCTCCTGCTTCCACTTTCAAAATTCATCTTGTTGGTAACTTCTAATTTCCTTCAAGAATGGAGGTCCTGGGATGGACAGGGATTATCCTAGTCTTATTTCCCACTGTTACTCCAAGTGCATATCTGACAGCCAGACTTACAGTAGATACTGAGTAAGTCTTTGTTCAATGGTTGATCTATTTTTGGTTCTCCCTCTTTTTTTCCCTGTATTTATCACCAAAAGAAGTTACTTGCCATTCATGTATATTAAGAGCAAAATTCTTCAAAGAGGCAAAAAGTTTTTGGAAGTAAATTCAAACGTATTTGAATTTCAATTAAGTCTGAGGTGGTGAGTGCAGTGGTTAAAAATCAGTATGTTAGAATTTGAAGCCATCCTGCTTAATTAAATGATGTGGGCAAGCCTCCCAACCATGTTAAGGCTCAGTTTACTTATTTAAAATGAAGATGATATTGTTGCCTTTCCTATATCACAGGATTGTCAAAAAAGGATTAAATCAAACTAGATAATATTGTGAGATCTGTAAAGTCCCGTACAAGTGTTAGTCATTATTTTCCTAATTTACATTAAGTGTATATTGAGTATGTAGCATTTCCTCCTCTTTAGATTGTTTAGCTTCTAGAATGTGGAAACCATCTCTCGTGTCATTTTTATCAGCCACAGTACTTAACATGGACTATTCTGCAGCTGCTTTATTTGTACTGCTCAGCAGATCCCCGGATTTGTTGGCTCCTTATGAGCTTTCGTGGATTTGTCTGTCATCTGACAGATTGTCTGTTGTGTTTGCTCTCAGTGTCTGTATTGTAGTCAACTGGTAGTTGTACAGGTTGGAGCTGATGCCCCCATTTATTGTCTTTGTGTGAAGAATCTGTGAAGTCTGGCTTCAGAAGCCAGAGTAGGCTCAACAGTTCTTATGATCCAGTCTCTATTCTTTTTTTTTTCTCTTATAACTTTTTTTTTTTAGTATAGTTGACATACAGTATAACAGTTTCAGGTGTACTAGTTTCTATCCTTTTTATTTAGTGCACATGGTTCATCAGTAAGATTGTGCTGTTTTTCACTACTCTCTGGTACAAAAAGAGAGATTGCAAAATGATAGTTTGATTCTCAGAATTTTAAAAAATAAAGCATCGAAGTGGGAGGACAAAGAGAAGCATTTATCCCTATTCTTTCTAAGAGGGTCTTTTAGTTTTCTGCTTTTATCCTGTTTATATTACTCCGTTTTGAGCAGCTTGAAGAGACATCTAAATCACCTTGTTTTCATGCTTCACTAAAGAGAGGTAAATAGCATTTATATGGAAACATATTGCTAAAGTGTTCAAAGGAATTGTTTCTTGTTTATGAGTTTATTTTGTGAGTTGATAGGTTTAATTTTAAAAAGAAAAAACTAAGAGCCAATTCATTCAACAAATAGTTATTACACACTGGTTGTTTGCCAGCCACTGTTCTAGGCTCTGAGAATACAATGTGAGCAAGATTCTTGACCTTGGGGAGCTTAGTAGGAAAGATTGACATTAAACACATAATTATGAAAGTGCTATGTTATGAAAGGGGAGTATAAGGTTCTGTGTGGGTTTTCAGGCAGAAGGAACAGGAGGAGCAAAGGTAAGGCTGGGAGTAGCCAAAGATGAGGCTAGGGAGATAGCTGATGGCAGGCTGGAGCACAGAGGATCTGAAATTCCATCTTGTGGACATTTGCTTTCTTTTATCCTTTATATAAGTATTTTAATTTTGAAACTGTTAAAGAAAAGATGGTTGGTCTGTTTTTTTCATTTGATTGTTGAGCTTTTGTGTTTTAGCCTGAGAATAAATTAAGAGTGATCTAAATAATTGGATGTTTTAAATATAACACAGTAGTTTTTTCAGTTATTTTCTCATAACTCAAAGTGTATATTCTTATTAAATTTTAAAGACATTGGTGAAAACATTTGAAGTGTGTGATCTTCCTGTTCGAGCTGCAAAGTTTGTTGCAAGAAAGAATTGGGTTGTGACAGGAGCGGTAAGTAATTATATGAATTTCTGATCCCTTCAATTTCTTAATTGGTCAGTGATTATGTGATGATTTTGATTCTTGATTTGTTAATTAGTGTAATGTTTTGAAGCATGGACTTTATACCTTGACCCTATAATACACTTTTTTTTAAAGATTTATTTATTTATTTTAGAGAATGTGAGGGGCGAGGCAGAGGGAGAGGGAGAGGCAGACTCCCTGAGTGCAGAGTCCCATGCGGGCCTCCATCCCAGGACCCTGAGGTCACTGCCTGAACTTAAATAAAAAGTCGGACACCTAACTGACTGAGCCACCCAGGCGCCCCTCCACTATTTTGCACAGTTTACTTTATAACAATAATAATGATTTTTAAATTTCCATTTCTAGGATGACATGCAGATTAGAGTGTTCAATTACAATACTCTGGAGAGAGTTCATATGTTTGAAGCACACTCAGACTACATTCGCTGTATTGCTATTCATCCAACCCAGCCTTTCATTCTGACTAGCAGCGGTAAGAGATGACTCCTTTTGGTCATGTGCATCTCTTTGAGTAATTCATTTTCATTCAGTGAGACTTGCAATTCTTTCTCTGCTGTTACATGTAGAGTTCTAATTCCGAGCAGCCTTTAAACTATGTACATCCATTATCATGCTATCAATGCTGCTTGCTTTCGTATTTAATGAAATATCAACTGTACTTGGGATTTGTATAGCAATTGCTCCAGTTCCTGTCAGGGAAGGCCTGAAGGTCTAGATGATTAAACATCTGCTGAACAGAAAGCTAATTTACATGCTGGTGGGTGAGTTTTTGCCAGATTGCTACATACCCTTGTCAGTTTTATCTTTATATTCAGGCTAGTTTGCTCCTTGGTATTTTATCTAAAACAGTGGACTTTTGGAGGGTAATTAGAACAAGTTGCACTGATTTGGTAATAGCTCTTTGAAACATTTTTAAATTAAAATTGAGAAGTAATTCAAAGCTTTTTTTTTTAACCATTTTTATAAGAGGAATCCTTATTCCCTAGACATTGCCATTATTATTCAGTCATACTTAGATTCTAATCAAACTTGTGTTACTCTTCTGTAATTCTGTAAAGCCCACTGAGTCTTTCTTAAAATTTTTCATGAAATTTTTATATTTGCTAGTAGTAATTTCCCTATCTCCACTCTTCTGTAGAGAGTTAAGTTTATTCTTAGGATGAATAAGGATTTTGAAAAATCTGTTCAGTTCTGATTCTATTTCTTTAAGTCATGGAATGTATGATTTCTCTTAGATTTGCTGCTTTTAGGCACAAAGACTGCATCTTAGTTCTGAATGAAAGAAATATAAATGACAACTAACTTGAGACTCTCTTTTCGCCTAGATGACATGCTTATTAAGCTCTGGGACTGGGATAAAAAATGGTCCTGCTCACAAGTGTTTGAAGGACACACCCATTATGTTATGCAGATTGTGATCAATCCTAAAGATAACAATCAGTTTGCTAGTGCATCTTTGGACAGGACCATCAAGGTAAGTTGTCTACTATTTGTATCTGTTTTAATGTGAAATATAGTTGTTTTAGATATTTTACTACTGGCTGCCCAGAAAGTTATTCCTGCTTAGAAGTTTCTCTTAGAAGCTCATATTGAAATCAAAATAGAACTTCTCACTTTGTTAGCCAGCATATAGTACATCATTAGATTTTGATGTAGTGTTCAACGATTCATTAGTTGCATATAACACCCAGTGCTCATCACAACACATGCCCTCCCTAATACCCATCACTTGGTTACCCCATCCCCCCACTCCCCTCCCTTCTGTAACCCTCAGTTTCCCAGAGTCCAGAGTCTCTCATGGTTTGTCTCCCTCTCTGATTTTTTTCCCATTCAGTTTTCCCTCCCTTCCCCTGTGGTCCTCCATGCTATTCCTTATGTTCCAGATATGAGTGCAACCAAGGACTTCTCACTTTGGTCCAAAGGGACATACTCTGTTTAGAAAAATACTGTGGCAACCTGATGCTCTTAATGGCAGGAGTGTTTTTCCATGTCAAAGCAATATATTTTAAGACTTTTAAACTACTGTAAACCCAGAATAAGAAAGATGCCAGTATGCCCTCTTATTTCTATTTCCTCTCCTTTTTGTGTATTTCCTCTATTTCCTATTTCCTTTCAGTGTATTCATTGTTGACATCTGCTGATTATTAATGATTTACATTAAAATTTCCTCTACCTCCATTCTCTTTTCCTTACTGCATTTCTCTGTACTGCTGCCAGTTATCTTTCTAAAACATGGATTTCACCTTTCCGTTCCCAGTCTAAGGATAAAGTTCCACTACCTTACTGTCGAATATGAGGGTTTCCAAGACTAGCCACAGCTAATATTATGAGATATCTCCTATAACCCTGGTCTGTCCACCATTCTCTAGAGATGCCATGAATGTTCATAAAACTTCATTCAACTGTTAACTCTGCTTGCAATACTCTTTATTCTCCCTTTTTTACTTTTTTCCCTCTGGAGAACTACTCACCTTTCAAGGCTTATTAGCACAATTACTTACTCTGAGAGGGTGTCCTCAGACATCCATTTTACCTCTAGACAGAGCCAATCATGCTCATCCCATTCCTTCCATTCCTTTTTGTCTCTGTTCCCTTCATTTTGAATGATAACTAATGTGTCTCCAGAAATCTTTTATCTCTCAAAATGTTGATGTTTGGGGCAGAAACTGGGTGTCACCCCCCACTCCCTCAAACAAATACTCCGTAGCAAGCAACACAATGCCTTGCTTATACTAAACACTTAATACATGTTGCATGAGTGTAGTCATACTCCCTTTTCCATTACAGTACTTAAAATGTCTCTATATACGTAGATTTAAAATGGTATATTGCATTAACGTTTGCTTACGTGTGTATGCTTACATCTTATAACATTCCTTTAAGTGATATAAAATGTTATACGTTATTTGATAATTTAGTATTAAATGATATCTGTCTAAATCTGTTAGGGTTTTGACCTTACTTTTTTTCCCTTTTGCTGGATTGTCCTTGCTTTTAACATAGGTTGGAAACTTTGAAATTAGTTTCCAACTTTCTTCACTAAAAGGTGTATCTTGAGACCATAAATTGTCTTATCTTTGGCCCTAGTAAAGTTTGTTGTATACAGTCAGTATTTACTGAAGTATTTACATTTGTTTATGCATCTTTATGCTTCCCAGAGGGCCTCCTGTGTAGGAGGTGCTCAGTAATTATTTGTAAAGTTAAAGCTCAATACTAGTGCTGTGGTAATGTTTGACTACTTTTCCATACTTTACATTTTTTAGTTACGTGGTCATTTTCTCTTTTTAATATACCTTACTAAACCCACTTTCATTATCTTTATATTAAAATTCTCATAAAATCATTTCTTACCCTTAAAGTATTGTTGTTTATAGACTACAGCCTGTGGATCACTGGGGTGTCTATTAAAAATCTCTTTGAAATTTTTAAATATAAATATTTTTATTTTTTTATTATTTTTTCTTTTAAAAATAAAAATCTGTTAAAAATTTAAAAATAAAGAGAAATCTCTAGGGATAAAGCCTGGAAATTGGCATTTTCAGAGAACACCATAGTTATTCTGCCCCCTGGAAAGTCAAGTAAAGTGAGAACAGAAATAAATGGGTGAAAAAAAAAATGTACAATTGTTTAGTTTTCCTCCCCTGGGCTTTGGCACTTTATATAATATGTCAGAAGTGTGGTGGAGCTGCCTTCTGAAAAGCAAGGCCCCTTATTGATGGGCAGTTGCTGTTGCTCTCTAAAGGTGTGGCAGTTGGGTTCTTCCTCACCAAACTTCACTCTGGAGGGACATGAGAAAGGCGTGAATTGCATCGATTACTACAGTGGTGGCGACAAACCATACCTCATTTCAGGTGCAGATGACCGTCTTGTTAAAATATGGGACTATCAGGTACAATTTTTTCATAATGTTACTTTGTCATATGTTAGACATGGATTTCACTGTTTCTTACAGGGCAGTTAAAACTTGGGTTATTGAACTCTGTTCAAAGCATAATAACTTAAGGCTTCAGTATTTGCCTCTAAATAATAGTCCCGGAGTTCTCCATAAAAATGAAAACAAATGCCTATCAAGATTTTAAAATAAAATGCCATTATGTTTATTTTTCACTCAATGGTAGAAATTAGAAATTTAAACATTTTGACTAAAATGAAGTATTACACCCTCTAGTATTCTCACTGGTAGACTATATTTGAAAACTAACAGATAAATGAATAATATCATGACACAGCCATGGTACAGACATTTTGCCACATAGACTTTGTAAACCTAGTTATGACTTCTTGTTACTATCCTTTTTATCTCTCAGAGACAGATTGAGTTTCTGTTTTCTGTTTCTCACATCAGAATTTCCATAAACAGTTAATAAAATGAGGCCTAGAAAACCAGTGTACTTAGAGGCTTATTCAAACTTGTGTTTAAGTACAGGATAAAATTATTAAAAAGATACTGTCTTAGAAGTTTGGGAGAGAAAATATTCATAAGAAAACCAGATCTTTTGAGGTGTGTGTGTTTTCTTCTTTAAATGTGGTAGTTACAATTACATTTCCCTATATTGTTAAAGAATTAGAGAAAATATGCAGATAAGATAAATGTGTTTCAAAAATTTCTGTATCGAAAATTGTTTAGTTGCAATAACCACTCTCATAATGTATCTGTGCACGGGAAAAATTAAGGATGAGTTACTTGTTTTTCACTAAAAATTAAAAAAAAATATTTTCTGCATCTTGATTACAGAATAAAACATGTGTACAGACACTGGAGGGACATGCCCAAAATGTGTCTTGTGCCAGTTTTCATCCTGAGTTGCCAATCATCATCACAGGTTCAGAAGATGGTAAGTTTGAAATGTATGTTTATTCCTGTGCTTGTAATTAGTAAGTGGATATTTAAGCCAGGTAGTGCCCTGCATTGTAATTGGAGGTTTCTGAGAATTTTGCTTTTTTTTTATTAGAGTAGAATACTTGAGCTGTAAGAGAGCGAAGGGGCATTGTATCTTTATCATCATCATCATCCTAATGTGTTTTGACTATTAAATAAGAGGACACCCAGAAGTCCTAGAGAAAAACTGTGAAAAAGCCTGTCGGTGCTTTGGTGTCCAAAAACCTGGGGTCATATTCAGGTGCTTCCACTTCATGCATATGTGGTTTAGGCAGATTATGAAATGTGAACAGACAAATCCACCTCATAGGATTGTAGTGAAAAGAAAAGATCATGTGTGTAAAGCATCTGCAGGTACATAATAGGCGCTGTGCTGAGGAAATTCATTATTTTACATGGAAAATCACATTTCTTAGTTTCTTATAATTTTCTATTTATTTATGTTGCTTTATAAAATCACCTATAGATCAAAAAATTAAGCTGCCAGGAAGCTAATAAAAAAAGACTTCCCTATGGCTGGTTCACCTGACACAGTTCATTGTTAGATGTTCAAATTAAAATGGAGTGTTCACATTGTTCTTTTTAGGAACCGTGCGTATTTGGCATTCAAGCACGTATCGCCTTGAGAGCACGTTGAATTATGGAATGGAGAGAGTGTGGTGTGTGGCCAGTCTGAGAGGGTCCAACAATGTCGCTTTGGGCTATGACGAAGGGAGCATCATTGTTAAGGTAATCTCTAATTATACTCTGAATAAATGAACATAGTGGAAGCAGTTTTCCTTGTATCTTAGTACAGTCATCTTCTAAGTCGCCAGTTTTATTACACTGGCTCTTTCATTAAGCACAAGAGATTAAGCACTAGAGATTTAAAGTGGAAGAAAGGAGCCTTCTGTTAAATGAAAATAGAAAATGTTTATTTTGTGGTTTTATTTGTTTTCTTTCATTGCTAAAAGCCCTTTGTCATTCTTCCAGCTTGGTCGGGAGGAACCTGCCATGTCCATGGATGCCAATGGAAAGATAATTTGGGCCAAGCATTCAGAAGTCCAGCAAGCCAACTTGAAAGCAATGGGAGATGCTGAAATTAAAGATGGGGAAAGACTGCCCCTAGCCGTCAAGGATATGGGCAGTTGTGAAATATACCCCCAGACTATTCAGCATAATCCTAACGGGCGGTAAGCCATCACCAGAATCTCTCCTGAGCTTCTGTGTATGTTAAAGCAGAGTTTGCATATCCACAGTGTATACCACTTTTATTCTGTGGTGGGCATCCCTCATGAGCTTTTGCCTTGGAATCCTCAACACAGCTCTGCAGGCAGCATGCCAGTCGATCGAGTTGGCATGCAGGGTGAAAGCATATTTGCCTTTCTGGCTTTGTCCCCCACACAATTTTGAACAGTTAAATAGCTTTGTATTTATTCATTTTAAATGTACTGGGTTTGTGTTCTGCTCCTTTGAGGGCAGGTATCATATCTTATCCTGAGACTCAGTAGGTGCTCTAAATACTTGCTAACTTAAGACGAAAAGGTGACTCTGAAGTAAGTAAATGTCCTTTGAAAAAACTGGGAGATTGGTAATAATTCTGCTTATTTGTGATTTGAACCGTCATTTTTGTTTCTTAAGATTTAGAAAGCACCAAACATCTTGAGTTTCAAGCATGAGTTTAAACCTGTGCACCTATAAAAGTTACTTTACAATAGATGTGGGCATCTTATAATTCTGTGCTGAGTATTGAAAAAGAGACAAGCTGTGTAAACCAAGTGTACTACTTGTTCAGTAAATGATATCCAGAGTTAACTTGTAATATAATTTTCTTAGGAAGATTAAGAATGCATTATATGTTTTTTCCCTTAATATCATAAAACATTTTTTTTGCTGCAAGTTTTGCATTTTACCATTGGCAATCTAATAGCAGCCAATACAATATATATTTTTTAAAGATTTTAATTATTTATTTGTCAGAGAGAGAGAGAGAACACAAGCAGGGGGAGAGGCAGGGAGAGGGAGAAGCAGGCTCCCCGCTGAGCAAGGAGCCCAATGCCGGACCCCAGGACCTTGGATCATGACCTGAGCTGAAGGCAGACACTTAACTGACTGAGCCACCAGGCACCCCAAAGTAGCACCCTCTTATGGTGTAAATGTAATGAGCAAAGTGCTAGGCATCTTGGTGCTCAACAAATACCAGTTGAGGGGTGCCTGGGTGGCACAATCAGTTAAGTGTCTGTCTCTTGATTTTGACTCAGGTCATGATCTCAGGGTTATGAGACTGAGCCCCACATCAGGCTCCACACTAGGTGTGGAGTCTGCTTAAGATTCTCTTTCCCCCTCCCCCCCCTTAAAAATTAGTTGGATTATTAGGATCTTGGCCCCTGTGCATCTCCAGCCATTCTTATCTTCCTGCCCCAAGTCTCCTTTGTTTATAGGAGAAGGCCACCGCAATAAGATTTTCAGCAAAACCCCATCTTTATAATATGTTTTTGGAATTGTTGGGTAGAATATTTATGTCTTGCTCTGTATTTGAAGAATTGTGTAACTTTAAAAGATACTAGATTCAGTTATAACAGTCAACTGAAGTAGCATTTGTTATTAGAAGTATTTTATTATGAAGATGAAGCATTGTTTCATGACTTCCACATTTCATTGGTCCTACTTCTCTCCCTGGCTTCCATAATTTCCAGGTTTGTTGTGGTGTGTGGTGATGGTGAGTATATCATCTACACAGCAATGGCATTGAGAAACAAGAGCTTTGGGTCTGCCCAGGAATTTGCATGGGCCCACGATTCTTCAGAGTAAGTTTTGGCTTGTGCTATCCAGCTGGCCCTGATTGCAGATGGGTGATCTGTGTGCAGCTCTATGAAATATGTTCTGAAGGCTCAGTGTTGGCTGTCCTTCTTCATGTTCAAGGACAGTTCTCACCAGTGCTACCTTTGCCCTTTTTTTTTTTTTTAAAGATTTTATTTATTTATTTGAGAGAGAGAGAGAGAAAGAGCACATGCGAGGGGGGAGGGTCAGAGGGAGAAGCAGACCCCCTACTGAGCAGGGAGCCCGATGCGGGACTCGATCCAGGGACTCCAGGATCATGACCTGAGCCGAAGGCAGTCGCTTAACCAACTGAGCCACCCAGGCGCCCCCTTTGCCCTTTCTGAATTCTGTATTCAGCAAACTCAAGCTCATCTAATAATCCCATTAAACTGGGGGCCCAGCACCCATTTCCTTGCTGGAGCCTGTGGCAGGGCCTGGTGCTTATGGATGGGCTCAAGACAAAGTAGGCGCTCCCTGTGACCTGTGTCCTGAGGTGCTGCCAAGTCCTGAGCCAATTGGGAGAAAGTGCGGTCTGATGTCTTTTTTTTTTTTTAAGATTTTATTTATTTACTTGAGAGAGAGAGCGAACATGAGAGGGAAGAGGGTCAGAGGGAGAAGCAGACTCCCCGCTGAGCCGGGAGCCCGATGCAGGACTCAATCCTGGGACCCCGGGATCATGACCTGAGCTGAAGGCAGTTGCTTAACCAGCTGAGCCACGCAGGCACCCAGTCTGATGTCATCTTGATGAGAATTTCATTGAATCTTTTTTAAAACTCATTTTCTGTGATGTTACCCAACCCTCATTCTTAAAACAAATTCTGTCTGAATTTAGAGTTCATAAAATGTTCTCATTAAAAAGAGGAAAAATCATTTAACTCTGAATTATCATACTAGGTGCTAATTATTTATAATTCTTTATAATTCTTTATAGTAGATACTGGTTACCAAGTGGTTCCTTTTTGATTCCTTTTTGGTGCATGTAATATAAAATATCGGGGCTTTGGTTTTTTCTGACCGCACAACTGAATTAACTCTGAATTATCATACTAGGTGCTAATTATTTATAATTCTTTATAATTCTTTATAGTAGATACTGGTTACCGAGTGGTTCCTTCTTGATTCCTTTTTGGTGCATGTAATATAAAATATCGGGGCTTTAGTTTTTTCTGACCACACAACTGAATTACATCTTCATTTTTCTTAGTTTTGTTTCCTCCATATTTTGTATTGCCCCTACCCTCAACAGTAAGTAACCTGAGCCTCAGTTTTGCATATAAGGTGCATGTTTTTAAATTATTTAACAATAAGATATACTGAGAGATAAGAATTTGTTTTGATCTTTTCATAAATTTCCTAAATACATTCATACATGTACATTTCCAAATACTAAAATGTACTTTTATATCATCTTAAAAAAAATTATAGTTCATGGATTGCCTTATCGCTGTTAACATACCTCTCTGTTTTGATAATTTGCTTCTTTTTTTTTTTTTTTTAGCTTTATCCAGCTAAGGCCCTATTCAGCATCTTTCCTATCTTGATAGGAATGCTCATCAGATCACTTCCTTAAATACTCTTGATTATCCAGCAACAGCCACAGTCCCTCTTTTCAGGAGGCCTGAATATACACAATATTCTAAATTGTTGCCAAAAATGGCTGAGCCACTTATAAAAGTTTTTATTTTTAAGTCACCTTTATTGAGTTGTAATTTATACAAAATTAAATGCACTATTTTAAATGTAAATTTCATTGAATTTAGGCAGATATATACAATCTGTAACCACTAGCACAGTCAAGACAGAACATTTCTGTCATCCCCAGAAAATCCCTTTGTTTTCCCTTAACAGTCATTTCCCTGGCTGCAAACACTGATTGGATTTTTGTCACCAAAAATTGTGGATTAGATTTGTCTTACAGTTTAATATAAATGGAGTCCTACAGTATCCACTCTGTGTCTGGCTTCTTTTGCTCAGCATAATGTTTCTGAGATTCACCCTTATCAATAATTGGTCCCGTTTTGCAGAGTAGTGTTCCACTGTATGAATATACCATAGTTGATTTAATCACTCACCTTTTGAGGGATGGTGGGTCTTTCTCAGTTTCTAAATAGTTTGTAAACCCTAATAATGTGTGTAATAGTGTAAAACCCATAATTCATTACTCAGATACATTTGAAAATATTTCTAACATTTGATACAAGTATGGCTTGGTATATAATATGCTGTGTTCTCCCTTCCTTTCCCCCCAGGTATGCAATAAGAGAGAGCAACAGTGTTGTAAAGATATTTAAGAACTTTAAGGAAAAAAAATCATTTAAACCAGATTTTGGAGCTGAAAGTGAGTGCTATTTATTTATGACACAATTTTAGAAGTTTTGTGGTGGCTCAGAAACATCTAAACTAATATCTTTTTTCTTTTTAGGTATTTATGGAGGCTTCTTACTGGGAGTCAGATCTGTAAATGGCTTAGCTTTCTATGACTGGGACAATACAGAACTCATACGCAGAATTGAAATTCAGCCCAAACACGTGAGTTTTCCCTCCATTGTTACTTTTGGAATGTACCTTTGTGAGGAGCTCTGGGTCCCTGAGGCAAAGAAATGTCCTTGTACCCAACTGTCCTGGTTCCACTGTGTTGGACACAATACCATTTACTTCAAGATTGCTTAGAAAATCAGAATTGTAGGGGGCAGAGCAAGATGACAGAGGAGTAGGAGACCTGGATTTCGTCTGGTCTCAGGAATTCAGCTGGATAGGGATCAAACCATTCTGAACACCTATGAACTCAACAGGAGATTGGAGAAAAGAATAGCAACAACTCTCTGAACAGAAAAGTGACCACTTGCTGGAAGGTAGGACATGCGGAGAAGTGAATCCGAGGAGATACTTGGGAGGATAGACGGCGGGGGAGGGGGCCTCCGTCAGCCGCTTCTGGCAAGTGATAGAGCCTCAGAGCACAAAATCGGAACTTTTAGAAGTTGGCTCCACTGAGGGACGTCGCTCCAGTAGCTAAGCGGGGGTGGTGCCCTCACGGGACAGTGTGGTCTCAGGACCCTCAGGGTCACAGGAAGACCAGGTGTGCCTGAGTGCGGCAGAGCTCCCAGGTTTCGGAGCGGGGAAGCTGGCTGCAGAGACGAAGCCGAGGCGCGGGCTCTCAGCTCGGGGTTGCCATAAACTGTGATCGGTGACACAGTCAGGCCACTGCTCCTCCAGCAGGGACCCAACAAGCGGCAGATCCGGGGAGACTCCCCTTCCTCCCCCGGGAGGAGTGGCGCGGGAGCGCACTGCAGGGATCTGCTGGGTTTGGAGACTCCACACCGAGTCGGGTGCCAGAGATAGAAACGCTTGGTCACAGGCTGGGTGAGCACAGAGTGTGGCCGGAGACCGGGAGACGGGAGTGATTGACTGCTTTTCTCTGGGGTCGCACTGAGGAGCGGGGCCCCAAGTTCTCACCCCTCTGGCTCCTCCGGGGTGGAGATTGGGAGGCTGCCACTTTCACTCTCATCCTCGAAAGCTGTACCGAAAGCTTGCAGGGAACAAAAGCTCCCGAGAGCAAACCCGAGCAGCTTACTTAGCCCGGACCCACAAGGGCGGGGCAATTCCGCCTCTGGCAGACATTTGGGAACCCCAGCAACAGGCCCCTCCCCCAGAAAATCAGCAAGAACAGCCAGCAAAAACCAAGTTTACAGATCAATGAGAACGGCAGAACTCCAGCGCTAGGGGAATACTGCACATAGAATTCATGGCTTTTTTACCATGATTCTTTGTAGTCTTTCAAAGTTAATTTTTTTTTTTGAATTTTTCTTTTTCCCTTTTTCAGCCAACATCTTATCAATCCCTTTTTTAAAAAAAATGTTTATTTTTCATTTTTAGAGTCATATTCTATCCCTTCATAGTAGTTACCCTTATTTTTGGCATA